TTCAACATTTTGTGCAATCCCATTAAAATGCATAATAGTAAAAATATAAAATACAATAAAATATATTAATAAAAAATAAAAGACATTGCAGTAGTATCACTGGATGGTACATAAATTATAAAAATTGGTTAAAAATAAATAAATAAATAAATACACCAATAATCCATGATTTTTTTTCAACATTTTGTGCAATCCCATAAAATATAAAAAATGTGAGTGAGAGAATGTGAGTGTATATACATATACACATGAAAATATTCATGAAAATATTCCACTAGTATCACTGTATAGTAGATAGATGGACAGATAGATTAACAAACAAACATTAATTGATATATAAACACTAATTCTCGTGAGTATTTACATTCCTCCGCAAGCACACGTGAGCTCAGCTTTACAGAAACTCGCTGATCTGATCACAGAGACAGAACAACAACACCCGAACTCTGTTTTAATCATTCTCGGGGACTTTAATAAAGCAAATCTTTCCCGTGAACTGCCAAAATACAGACAGCATGTTACATGTCCCACCAGAGACAGTAATATACTGGACCATTGTTACTCCACAATAAAGGATGCATATCGCTCGGTCCCCAGAGCAGCTGTAGGACTCTCTGACCACTGCCTGGTTCATCTTATACCGACTTACAGGACATACTTGGCAATAAAGCTCTTTCTGATTCTGATTCTGATTCTAATAACCCAAGATTTTCAGCACTTTGTGCAATCCCTGTTACATTTAAAACATTTTGAGGTTGGAAGTTACAGGGTGAAAACCCCCATCAAATCAGACAACATGATCAAGAGAGAGAATTCAGCCTTTAGAGAAGTAAAAATGTGTGGTTCAGCTCGTGCCATCAGTGCTTATTAAAAACTTGAGAGCAGTGGATCCGATATAAGGTCATGTGTGATGAGTGCCTGTGCTTAGAAAGCCTGCCGTCAGCATTCGTCTGCTCCGGGAAGAGAGAAATCAGTCTGTCGAGCAGCCAGGAGTTTCATTCACAAAACCAGGCGCCTCTTTAGTCATGGCATGATTTCCATACATGACTCACGGCTGGAGATGCAAGCGTCCTTTACCCAGAGTGCACTGCAGCATCCCAATTACATTCCAGCAGCTCTTCAATGCAGCATTGCTCGCTCTCTCATCTACACCACACACACTTTCTCTGAATGAAGAATGACATTTATTTGAATTTGTCTGCGTAAGATGTCTCTCTTTTCACCCTGACTGTAACTGCTGTATCTGAAAAAGCCTCTGGTCCGTCCTCAGTTCGTGTGAAGCAGATCGTTCAGCGGTTTATGAAGGCGACGTTCAGCACCACGGACAGCAGCCAAACACATTTTCATAAAGGGACTGGTTCTATTATTCTTAGAAAACAATATATAGCTTCATTCGAACGGGTTATTTGTCTCAAATACATTTCTTTTTATAATACACATTGTTTCGAAGCATAGCCATTGTTTAGAAAGAATAGGTAACAAACACTTAATGATCAATTCAAAGCAGACAATGAGAAAAACTGCTTAAGATGTTTAAGTAGATGAAGAAATAACCTTGGAAGAAACCAAGATGCTTTAACCCTGTAAAGCCTGATATATGAAATACAGTCTTGCATTTTTAAATGGAACGGTTTATTGAAGCTTTAGACAAAATAATTAAAAATAATCTCTTTGCATGTGTTTTTTTGTTTGATGCATCAGGCTTTTATGGCTTGTATAGTCTGCAGTGAGAACATGAAGTAAAAACAGCTCAATTTTATTCAGACTCAAACTCCGCAAAAATCTGAATGTGCTGCAGATGCTGATATTTATCTGATGAAATTCTGCTGCTTGTGATGTAAATCAGTGAGATCTGTATAACAGTAGAGCAGATACTGACATAAAATGATCTGAATATCAGCGGTCGCTCTATATCTCCAGTAACATGTCTCAGTAAAATGAGATTGAAATGCTCCAAACATATAATGCAGTGATTGAGAGCTGAAGAAATAAAGGCTCCTCAGAAGATGTGAGATGTTCTGGAGGCTTGTGAAGGTCATTCCTCTGCAGAGGAACAGTGAAAGTAAAGCTTCTGGAAACAAACGCTCCTCAAAAGATCCTGAGGATCAGATTTGAGACTCTAAAACATGATTGATGGAGAATCAAGTAAAGCTGAGCTGCTTCGGTCCAGTAAGTGTTCAACTGGAGATATTACTGCAGTTATTCTGACCTTTACTTGATTAAAACCAGTCAAGATTTGACAGCAGAAAGACACGAGAAGTGTTTGTACAATTACACTAAAAGAGCTTTGACTGGATAAAAAACTCAGACGACAGAATGCATGCAGTAGATCGAGTGTGAAACAGGTTTAACGACAAAGTTTGATTATTTAGAGCCTTAGAAATGTGTGCATCAAATACGATCCAGTAACTTTATAGGGTTAAACATATTTATACAATGCATCCATGCATTCATGCATTCACAAACATTAGTTTAAACAATTAAAATTAATTTGGTGTTTAATTAAATAAGATTAAAATGACCTCTAAGAAAAGCCAAATCCATGCAAATATCCATGCACTCAGTTTCAGTGATCCTTACAGTAAAGCAACTTTGTGCACTAAATAAAAATACAAATTCTCAGAAAATACATAATGCATATTACAAAAGAACAACTTAGTGAAAACATGATATATTAATTTCAGTGAATGCAAAACGTAGTTAGAATTAATTTTTGTATTCTATATAACACATTCAGTTGTAACACATTCACATTAATTTCAACGCCAAGGTTGTGGGTTTGATTCCCAGAAAATGCATGAGTTAATAAAGTGTATAATGCAACGCAAGTTTCTTTACATAAAAGTGTTTGCCAAATGCATGAATGTAAAACTGTTAACATTCATTTACATCAATGCCAGTGTCGAATGTCAATGTCTTTTATATTATGTCTTTTAATATTACTTTGGAGGACCACATTCAGAAATGATTCAAATTTAAGACAGTAGATGTTTAAAACCAACATGCAAAAGCACTGCTAGAGAAAACAAGCATTAAAGTGCATTACAGTTACTGAGATATAACATAACCCATGTGATTCTGTCGCTCTTATTCATTAGCACCTTTAACCAAACAGACTTTGCACTACGAGCAGTTCATTCGTGTACACCCTAAACTGAAGTGCTGGAAGCAGCAGCAGTTTTTAAAAACATGAAGCAGCTCTTTGAGAATGGAGAGAATCACGTATTGCAGCAGAGCCTGTAACAGCGAGAGTGTAACACCAAAATGAAAGAGACTAATTTACAAAGCTCTCCTCTCTTTTTTGCACTTGGATAATTCGTGTTGCATTACTCAGAGAAAGATAAGAAGAAAAAACGTTGTCATGCCAACTGGCTGCTGTACCATTACAATGTTTGGACTAAAGAGGAGTTTTCACACAGAATATTAGATGTTTACATTCTCTGACGAACATAAAAGCAGTGTTTGTCTTTGTAAAACATCACCAACATACGGTGTTTCTTCCAGTCTTTGGATAAAAACATCTACTAACAGCATAAATGTAAACGCCTGTGGGATTTTTACACATATTTTCTGCTCCAGAAGTGGAAATGGTGCATCTAGGTATTTAACAGAATGCTAAACAAATGTCAAAATAACTATGGTACTCGAATATACAATGCAGTCTCTTCTGCTCATCAAGGCTGCATTTATTTGATAAAAAATACAGTAAAAATTGTGAAATATTATTACAATTTAAAACTGCTGTGAATGTCTGTTAAACTGTAATTTATTTCTGTGATGCGCAGCTGTATTTTCAGCATCATTACTGCAGTCTTCAGTGTCACATGATCTTCAGAAATCATTATAATATGCTGATTTGCTGCTAAATTATCAATGCTCAATTATTAATAATGTTTCTTATTATTATCAATGTTGAAAAGAGTTTTTGCTGCTTGATATTTTTGTAGAACCTGTGATACATTTTTCCCAGGATTCTTTAATAAAATAAAAAAAAAAAATAAAAAAAATAAAATAAAATAAAAAATAAAAATGTCTTTACTGCCATTTTTTATTAGATGATTATTATTATTATTATGTACTTAAGTGATCATTTATTATCAATTATTATTGGTGCTTAATTATTAATAATGTTTCTTATTATCAGTTTTGATAATAATAAGA